ATCTCCCCTCCTCGTGAACCAAACACTCGTGACAATTATGTCGGGGCCAGACCCCGACAGAAATGTAGAACAAAACTCAAAAAAACAAAAAGAAGACAAAGCCTACTGTAGGTCAGGAAGAGATTGGTGGAAGCCTGAGATTATGTTCCTTGATCACCCTTCTTGTTCTGGAACTGAACTCAGACCTGTGGCTTGATTTCCAACCAAGCAACAGAAAGATAGGTAAGGGGAACAAAAACACTAGTGAAATGTGCACACCATAAAACTGTCAACCATTCAAGATCACAAAGGAGCTCTAGTAGCGTAATGGTTACGAGTCGGGCTGCGAATCGCAAGGTCAGCAGTTCAAAACTACCAGCTGTTTTGCGGGAGACAGATGAGGCTTTCTGCTCCCGTAAAAGATTTACAGCCTCGGAAACCCTGTACAGGGTCGCTATGGGTCAGAACCGACTAGACAGCACTTAACAACAACAAGAAGATCAAAGGGGCAACATTTACCCAAGGACAAAATTCAGAAGGATGAGGAAAGAAGGAGGGATGGAAAGAAGAAACATAGGGAGAAAGTAGGAAAAATGATGTTGTATTGTGGGGATTACAGTCAATATGGAGTCCTGGTGTGGCTCTATAGGATGAGCACTGGACTGCAAGGTTGGTTTGAACCACTAGATCAGGGGTTCAAACTCACCAGCTGCTCCTTGGAAACCCTGTACAGGGTCAATAATTCGGAACCGACTTGATGGTACTTAATAACAACAATCAATAAAATGAAAGAAAATGTGTATGCATTGTTGGATATAATACTGATGATCTGCTCTGTAAACCTTCACTCAATTCACACACAAAAAAAACCTTTAAAAAATCTGCATATTGCGTTTGGGAGCAGGCAGAAGGAATAGATTTATTCCAATTTCCTTTCATGTGTAGTACACGCAGAAAACTAATTCCGGCTACAGTCGCAAACTAATAATCGCCCACCAGCGGGAGCGAGAAATCACCTGCATTGCCCAAAAACCGTGTAGTTTCTCAACGTGCGCGGTTCAGACAGGTGGCCGGGAACTACTGGGTCTGAGAGGCCTACCTACCGCGGACACTGAGACCCCGCCACTCCAAGGAATGGGACCCTGCCTCTTGAGTAGCGCGCCCCCTGCCGCCCGAAGAGCGAGGCGCTGGCTCTCAGGAGGCCGAGAACATGGCGGGGAGGCAGGCGGATCCTGCAGCGCCGCCGGGGGACCCAGACCCAGACCCAGCGGCGCCTAACATGGTGGCACAGATCTCGCAGTGGGCCGACGACCACCTAGTTCTCGTTCGGGTACTGCAGTCCCGCTGTCTCTGCAGGTGGTGGGCACGGGACCAGGCGGAAGTAGCCTGAGACTTGTCCGAGAAGGCCACGGGGGTGGGGGTGGGGGGCTGTGCCGGGGCTGCGGAGGGTGAGAAGGGCTCCTGGGCATCGGAGGGCGATTTTGCGACGTCTCGAGTGAGTGCCGTGCCGCAGAGGGTGGGTTCCAAGGAGAGGCTGGTCAGTTTGAACCACCGACCTTGGTCTTTAATGCTTATCCTACAGCGCCACACCAGGATTCCAAACTTAAATATACAATACCTATTAGTGTGACGCTGTGGGATAAAGCACTAGACTGCAAGGTCGATCTGAATCACAAGGTGAACGGTTCAAACTTACTAGTCACTCCTTAGAAACCCTATACAGGGCCGCTATACTGGACAGCACTTAACAACAACGACTATTAAAAGTAGATGTGTGACCTTGAAGATGCTGATGGTTGTTGTTGTTAAATTCCGTTGAATCGATCCCAACCCATAGCAACCCTGTATAGAGTTTCCAAGGAGCAGCTGGTGAGCTTGAACCACCAACCTTGCAGTTCAAATGACTTTGCAGTCCGACGCATTAGCCCACAGTGCCACACCAGGACTCCGAAGATGCTGATTAGACTTCGAAAAAGAATTGTAGATGTTGTTCTAGGCAACTGGGTAGGAGGCCCGTGTTGAAGGGAGGTCAGAAGTGGACATACGACTTTGGGAGTGAGCTGCATAAATTTTAAGACATACTTAAAAGTTGAATGACATCTTGGAGCAAGTGAGAAAAGCTACAGAAGGTCTAAAACTGAGACCTGGGCCACTCTGATATTTAGAATAGGGGCAATGAGAAGTCAGCAACTAAAAAGGACCACGAAGCAAGAGAGGAGAAAAATCAGGAACATAAAGTGTTTCAGAAGCTAAGTGAAGAGTATTTCAGGAGTGATTAACTTTAAAAAACTCTGCTGAGCAGTAGAGTGGGAAGAGCTTTGCAGATCCTCTGCCACCAAGCACAAGGACGAGGGGCTGGTTTGTTCTCTCAGTTGTCCAGTTAGCCTGGTATGGCTCTGTAGGATACTGCACTGGACCGCAAGGTCAGTTTGAACTGCAAGGTTGGCGGTTCAAGTCCTCCAGCTACTCCTCGGAAACCTTGTACCAGGCTCACTACTATGAGTTGGAAACCAACTCAATGGAACATCACAAGAGCTAGATACATATTTGTTGTTGTTGTTTAATGCTGTCGAATTGGTTACAACTCTTAAGCTGCCCTGTATAGGGTTTCAAAAGAACAGCTGGTGAGTTTGAACTGCCAAATCTCTATGTGTTAATTGATAAGGCCTTGTTACTTCCAGTTATGCAGAAATTAATGCATTTGAAATTTTTAATGCATGCAAATATAATGTTAGATAAACCTGAGAAGGAATTCAGGAGGAAATAGTTTATAATTTATCACACAGACATATATTCCAAATGACTTAATTACAGAATCTGAAGCCTGTACTGTAACATATATTTGCAACTTCATTTCTTATGTACTTATTGATGAAGGAAAATATGTTGGTTGGCACTCTTTTTCAGAGAATTCCAGGGGTCTTTTTAATTAAATTCTTAATTAACTCAGTTTAAATGAAACACTTTAAGAACATCACTTTTTTTTTTTTTAATGTATTTGTTATAGTAAATGCATATGTAACAAGATAAACTATATCATCTGCTGAAGGACATTTATTCCCATTAACACTCTTAGGCAGTGTACTGTAATAAACATTGGTGTACAAGTATCTGTTTGTGGTTCTACTTTTAGTTGCCTAGAGTATATCCCTGGGAGTAAAATTGCTGGATCATAGAGCAATTCTGGAGTCCTGGTTTGGTGCTGTGGGTTAATGTGCTGGACTGCAAGGTGGGTTTGAACCACAAGGTCAGTGGTTCAAGGTCACTATCCACTCCTCAGAAACCCTTATACAGGGTTGCTACTGACTCTACAGCACTTAGCAGCAACAAGAACATGGTAGTTTTGTTTAACTTTTTGATAAACCATTAAAATGTTTTCCATAGTAGCAGCACCATTTTACAGTCCCACCAGCAATGGGTGAGGGTTCTAATTTCCCCATATCCTTACCAATACCTGCTGTTTTAAAAAATAACACAATTTCCCCAAAGCATTTACCCACATATATTTATTTGACATATATTTATATTACAGTTTTAGGGATAAGGTTTCTACCAGCTATATAAATTTCCACCATAAACTCAGGTTTATGGTAAGCTTTATTGTGTGTGAGCATTGTAGAAAAAGTTTAGATGATTCTTGCATTCAAGAAACTATGGTTAAAGCAAATACCAATACAGAACAATATAACATTATATTTGCATGCCAGATTGCATGTAGACTTGAAGTGTTTTAAAAGTTAAAAGAGAGCAAGATTAACAGGTGAGTGGGTGGTCACAGTTTTTTTTTTTTAAAAGATGGGCCTTCACTCTAAGGATATGAGTAACTGGAACAGTTAGAGAGATAGAGTGAAGACCCTCTCCCCCGAACCGCCTTTTAAAATAGTACTTCACTGTTGTGAATAATTAGAATGAATCATTTAATCTCTTTTTATAGAACATCAGTACTGGAATGGCCATAGCTGGAATAATGTTACTTCTAAGAAGTGTTCGAGTGGTAAGTTAAAAATAAAAAGGCATTCTGATGAGCAATGATATCTTAAGCAGTATATCATTTTGTTATTCATACTGTAAGCTTTTAGGTAGTATTTTAGAATAATGGGTATATCTTTAGGTTATGACTTAAAAGGAGCACATCCATAAGGTTTTATGGAAAGTACTTGGACAATCTATATTTCCATAAT